CTGGGCAGGCTGCTGTAGAGCTTGGGGAGCCATAGAGGAGGGCAGAGCCCTCTTGCATCTCCCTGGGGAGACAAACATCTGCCCTGCTTGCTAAACCCCTGCCCCAGGAGAGGGGTGACCCACAGCCAGTTGGGGAGCCCAGAGAGGGACCCTCACTGATGGGAGGCAATGTTGGCTGTGCCCCGGTAGCCCCTCAGCGCAGCCCCCACCTGCCCAGCAGCCTGATCCCCTGCCGCCAAGCACAGCCTCACATTCAAGGAGGGTGCCTGGGCAAGAAGCCCCTTGCTAGCCCAGGACCACCCCCCCTCCCCCCCCCGTTTGCCATCCCCAGAACACCAGGGATGCGAGCGCCAGGCCAAGATATCCTACCAGGCCTGGGAACTCCATGCCACGGGGTGGGGAAGTGGTCCAGCACACCTGATGGCAGCCCTGGGCTCACTGCATGTCTGGGCTCTGCCCCTGCCTCCCCAGGGCTCTGTGTCCCACAGCCCTCCAGGAAGGGCGAGGCCTTCACCCTAATTCTAGGGGTGCCAACTGGGAAGGGCTAAACCACTGCCTGAGGCCTGACCAGCCCTCTGATGCTGCGGGCAGGCTGGATCCTATCAGAGGGGCTGCCCTTGGGTCTGGCCCTGGCTGGAGGTGACATTTGACCCTCTTGTTGCCCAGAGCCGGAGGCTCCAGTGAAGCTGGAGAACGTGGAGGTGTCCAGCCAGGGCAGTCTGGCACTGCAGCTGCGCGAGGCAAAGAGCAAGAGTAAGTCCAGGGGAGACACGTGAGCAGCAGGGACCCAGCCCAGGCTGGGGGCTTGACACCAGCCTGCTCTCCTTGTTGCCGCCCGGCTGGGAGGCACACAAGTGGCACAGCGTGGGCCCCTGCTCGCAGGTCCCCAGGAGCACCCTGGCACGTCGGCAGGGTGGGCAGGGCTGCACCATGGCCCCAGGGTCTGACGGCCATCCGTGTCTTCCAGGTGAGGGGCAGAACTGCTCCACGAACCCCTGCAGGAACGGAGGCACCTGTGCCAGGGATGCCAATTCCTACCACTGCGACTGCCGCCCGGGATTCAAGGGCCGGCTCTGCCGGCTGGGTGAGTGCTGCGCTGCGGCTGGGGGTCCGGGCTCCCTCCTGCGGGTGGATGGCGTGTGCCCAGCCTGGCAGCTGTCCCAGCCACAGGTCACCAAGCACACCCTGCCAGCACCGAGCTCCTCCCTGACAAGGGGGCTTCCACCGTGCCCAGGCTCCACTAGAGAGGGCTGTGCTGTGCTGACAGCAGAGAGAAGAGCTGGGCTTTGCTCTTGCCAGGTCGGGCAGATCTGGGAGCGCAGGTCAGCCCCCTGCTTCTGGCTGAGCCCTCCACCGGGCAGCCTGCCCTGCCCACATAGTTACCTGGGCACCCTGAGGCTGGGGGCTCTGCCTCTCCTGGCGGCTTAGCTCTGTTGAGCCCAGCCCTCCAGGACAGCAAGGGGGATGCCCAGGGGGGCCTTGCCGGCCCCCTGCCACAGGGCACAGGCAGGCAGAGATGGGCCTGTTGATAGCTCCCCTCTCCTGTTCCCCAAGCAGCCTGCAAGAAGGTGCCGCCCCCCCTGCCACTACCTGTGAGTACTGCCTGCGGGTTGTGCTCCCTTCTTCCCCTTGTGCTCAGAGCCGGGGATGTCTCCCTGCGGCTTGGCTCCGGGGAAGGGAGAGCGAGGCCATCTCAGACCCCGGCTGGCCGGTTCCCAGGGGCTACAGACGCCCCCTCCC